CAGGCAGATCCTCCCTGAGCGCCCGGGGGGCCCGGGGGACCCCGTGGGGCCGGTGGGTCCAGCCAGACCCTGTGGGTAGAGACAGCATCAACCCCCATGCTCGAGGGGGCTGCGCCCCATCAGCCCCCATATACCGCGTCTCCCCCCCTGGCGTTCAGCCCAGGGGAGACCCCAAATACTCACAGGATCTCCTTTGGGTCCCGGGGGGCCCTGGATGCCCGGGAGCCCCTGGTCTCCTTTCTCACCCATCTCTCCCGGTGGACCAATGAGCCCAATCAGTCCGGCGTGGCCCTGGGGACGAAGGACAGCGTCAGGCAACCCCCTCCCCACGGCGAGGGGGGCTCAGGTACAGGTCTGGGGTAAGAGACCCCCCCTCCCGCCGCGACCATCCCCTTTTCTCACCTTATCTCCCTTGTGGCCGGGGTCTCCCTTGAGGCCAGGCAAACCCACGGGACCCTGAAAGAGGCCACCAGGGTGTCACGCACTCCGTATCGTCCCCAGCTCGGATCACCCGTGCCCAGGGCTCGCTCAGCGTGACTTACCAGCGGGCCAGGGGGTCCCGCTTGTCCCGGAGCCCCCAGCAAGCCTTGTTCACCCTGGAAGAGACTTGGTGTGGGACAGGAGCCTGAGGCTGAGGTCCCCCCCCAAAGCCACAACCCGCCAGGCTGCAGCCATCGTGCCTGCGGGGACGTCCCCCGGCTGCAGCTAGCGGGGGTTTCGGGGACACGGGCAGCCCCAGGTCGGCACAAGAACGTCTTCCCCGTAGCCCCCGACTCACGGCAGGGCCGGGGATCCCACGCAGTCCTTCGGAGCCCGGCCGTCCCGGTGGCCCCTGTGCCCCCACAGGGCCTGTCTTCCCTGGTGGCCCCTCGGTGCCGGGCTGTCCCTGGGGACAGGAGGACAGACAGAGCTGAGGGTGGCACCCATCGGGACTCAGCCCCATCTCTCCAGGGGGGAACGCTGGTCCTGTCCCAGTCTGGTGGAGGCTTCTGGAAGGGAGTGGGTTTGGGGAGCCCTGGGGTGTACCGGCCGCCACTCACCTTGGCACCCTTCTCGCCCTGACGGCCTTCGCGCCCCATCGGCCCCACAGGTCCCTGGATGAGGGGACAGAGACACCAGGAGCCAGACGCCCTCACAGTCCCACTTCACCCCACACCGTCCCTCCCCATCTCATCCTCACCCTTCCCGTACTCACCCTCCGTCCAGGGGGACCCGGGGGACCCGGCTCCCCTGATGCTCCTGGTGGACCCTGAAACGAACCCAGTGGGAATTTGGGGTGAGGGGAGAGTCCCACAGCCGGGACTGGGGGAAGCAGGGATGCGTAAGACTCCCGGGAAGCAGCACAGCTCAGCGAGAGCCCCTCAACACCCCCAGCCCAGGGTGGTCCCGCTGGGAATGCGACCCCCCTCTCTGCAGCTGTGATAGCCCCAGCTGCCCCACTCACCGGCAGACCGGGGTCCCCACTGTCACCCTTCTCTCCAGCAGCTCCGTCCAAACCCTGTGACACAAGGGAGAGTGAGCACTCACCTAGCTGAGCACCCCCCCAGCCCACCCCCGGGCTGTCGGGACACCGGGAAGCACCGTCGAGGCAAAGCAGGGAGAGAACCGCCGTGTCCTGGCACCTCCCAACCCCATCACCACCTCAGGGTGACAACAACGGGTGACACCAGAGCACCCTGGAGGACACGGGTGCTGGCTCTCTGCTCTGCGGCCCCTCTAAAGGGTGAGCACGGGCTACTCACCGGCACGCCGGGGTCTCCGGGGGGGCCGGGATCACCAGGGAAGCCGATGGGACCCTGCAGAGAGAATGGGACACCAGCGTGGGACTGGGAGGAAGCCCCAGACCTTCTGCGTGCTGGGAAAGCTGAGACAGGGACAGGGACAGGGATTAGTGCCTGCAGGGCTATCGGAGGGGGG